CATGTGCTGACATAAGAATGTAGGCCAAAAGGGAGTGTGGAAACACATATGTAGGGCTCTGAAAACTGTACTTCTGGGCTGCTTATGCTAAAGCAAGATGACCAAGCAATCAAGGAATTAGTCACTGGACATGACTGGGTCAGGGGTCATAAAGTTGCTGTCAAGTGATGAGATCACATGGATCCCTGGGCTGGGTTGACCAGTCGTGGTATGTTCAGCTTTTTCTGGCCTTGGTTTCTTAATCAGTCAGTCAGCACTGACTCAGAGCATCTCTGTGGCATCTGCCTCTCACATTCGGGACTCTGCCTTCCAGTGCACGGAATCCAGAGCAAGTCCCTGTAAATACAGACTTGACTTGAAAGGATGTTTTTACCAAGGGCCACAGTGGTGAACGGACTTGAGCTGGGAGTTAGGTGTGGCTTAGCAATAGAGCACTTGCTGAACATTCGTGAGGCCCACAGTTTCATTGCAAACATCACACACACATACACAAACACACACACAAACGAAATGTGAAGGAACTTGAGCATAATAATAATGCTTAAACCATGTCTGCCAACTCTGAGCCCTCCATTTCCACATTTCTTAAGCTGAAATGAGAACCCAGCCAACTGGAGGGCTCCTGGGAGTTCAGGGAAGTAGCCTGTGGGAAGCACCTATGAACTTTAAGGGGGCAAGCTGTTAGGTTTAGCATTGCCACAGCAGGATGACAACTTTGCAAAGAATTAGAGCATAACAAGGCACTCCTAAGCACTAATCTGCCAACCATGATGCAGAAGAGTCTTAGAGACATTAATAACTCTTAGGGTCATGATCAGTAATGTAGAGTAGTTTTGTAGGAAAACAAATAACATCCTCACTGTCTTTTGTTGTTTGGGATTTTAGCTTCAGAATCAGTTAAGTGCATGCTGGCTATAATAAACCCTGAAGGAACTCATTGATCACATACTCCAAGCCCCATATTTTACAGATAGATTCATTGAGCCACAGAGAAATGAAGTGGGCTGCCTAGAATCCCATGCTCATTAGCAAGAGATGTGCAAATAAAATGCCAGCTCCTGACTCCTGCTCAGCTTTCCATCATTAGTTTAAGCATAACTCAGAAAATTGGGCTGGCGGCGAGGATGCCCTGATGAATGTGGTGGCCTATTTGAACATGGGATTGAAGAAATCATGAGAATTTAGGAGTCTGGATGAGTCACCGAAGGGTGTGTGTGAGCCCAGGAACTTGACTGGACCTCCTTAGGAAAGAAAGACAGGGACAGTATTAGTAATTTTCTCGTTCATAGCAATTCGGTTCCTCTGTACAAAAATTTTTGCCAAGTAGTCTCTGAAATTAACTGGTGTGTTGAGAATGCTGGTCATAGTTAAATGGCTCTCATAGCACATTGGTACACGGAGGATAATATTGTAAGGGGGCTCTCTTTTTTTTTCCTCTCTCCCTCCCTCCCTCTCTCCTTTCTAATCGTTAACATAGATATTCTGTCTTCGTTGAGTCCAATTGCCAGAACCAGGACTGACTATGAAACAAATACTACACCCCCTCTTCTCAGGCAGCCTTGGTCCCACCCGCAGCTGGGAGTTGGGCAAAAAGTCAAGAGCAAGTGTCAGTGCTGAGCAGCCTGTGAAAAACAGCGCTTTCTTCCCAGACACATTCAAAGTGGCATCCCACCTGCCCCTCCCTCCTCTTTCTAGCCATAAATCTGTCTCCTAGAGATCTGCAGGGTTTTTTTTTTTTTTTTCCCTATCTTCAATCTGCTGATAACTTGCCTCGGCCAAGGATCTCAGTGTTGGGTGGGAAGGAGTCTGTTTCCTCAGTCTTTTGGAAAGCCAGTCTTAATTCTGAGTGTGGATGGAAAATGCCTGGTTACAAAAACAGAATCTGGAATCAGACTGCTTGGATTCAAATCTCAGCTCCACTTGTTGCTAGAACCTTACAGGCACTGGGTGAATCCCTTCAATGCATCAGGTCTCCATTCTTCAGTTCGCACTGCCATCTCAAATATTATACGAGCATGCAGTTAAATGAACTGATATTGGGATGCTTTGAACAGTGCTAGCTGGATAAAAAGTGCTTTATAAGTGGCCGTTTAGTAAATGAAATAATCTCCATCACATCAGATTTACCTCAAGGTACCAGCTCTATTCCATAAGGCGTCAACGGGGCCTTTGGACCCTTCATGGGCGCGGGTTCTTTCTTCCCAGTTAAAATTCCATAGCACATGCTGTGTACCAGCCTTTTTATACCGCTGAATTAAGAAAGAAAAAGCAGAGGGATTTGACTTGCAGCACTAAGGCAAGCCTCTGCCTGGCGCAGCGAGCTGTCCACCTTCCCCTTATGCTACTGGAAGTGCAGTGAAGCTGATCGATTCACTGTGTGTCCTTGAGCAGGTTGCTTGCAGCATCACGGTCACTGTTGCTCAGCTGCCGAGTGCTCCCTGTAACCCGCTGCCCAGCTGTAGACGGGCCCTGGCCTCCTTTTGGGCTTCTGGTGAGGGGGTTTCCACAGCGCTGTAGCCTTGGTTGCTTCAAGGCTGAGCTGTGGGAGAGATTAATGGGAAGTGAGAAGAGAAACTGTTATTCTTACCCAGCAGTGTTGTTGGGAGTGTGTGACTCTTCTTGTATTTAGGGAAAAGATTACTCATGAGGATTTTGGTCCATGGAATATAAAGAACCTCAAATTACTGCTTGTGTCCCCCGCCCTCTTCTCACCCACCTCTCTGTTTCAGTTTGTCCTCGGTAGAAACGTCAGCATTTTACTTTCATTTCCCCTCCGAGGCAGGCTTCAGTTCTGTATTTACTTTGACGCCCCAACAAGCTGCCCCAGACATTTCCCTGCATTGCCTAAAAGCTCTCTGCTCTAGCCTTCTGGCCACTGGGTGCTTTCCTGTGGCCAGCCTGATAGGAACCTCCACCCATCCCCTGGTAGAATCATCCTCTCCTTACCCAGTATCATCTTAAATCACAAACTGATATGCTGTTCCTGTTCCAAGTGGGCAGTGTTGACAGTAGGAGGAAAGTTGAAGGTTTCTCCTGGCTGCCATTTGCATTCTACTAGGAAGAGGTGGTCACTCTCTATGTCCATAAACCATTTTGAATAGGCAGTCAAACACAAAACCTCAAATACTTTAGTGGGCCTGTTTCCTTCTGTTTCCTATTCATAAGGCAGTCACATGTTACAGTCGATACCTCATAATAACTACTTGTTTCTGCCGTGTGAAAAGCATTGCCATAAAATTTAAAAGCCAAGAAAACACTCAAATGCTTGGAGTTTGGATTAGATTGGTTGGTTTGGGTTTTATGGTAGTGGGGGCTGAACTTTGGACCTCACACGTGCTATCACCGAGCAGTAGTCCCAGCCCTCTTTTTGACTTGAGTCTCACCAGGTTGCCAGGCTGGCCTTGAACTCACTGTGTAGCCCAGGCAGCCCCTGCATGGCTTTGCATTACTTTCCCAGTAGCTGTGTTACCAGGCCCAGCCAACTGACTGGTTGTGGGGAGTCTTCCATGGACTTAGAAGAAACTGACCTCTGTTCTTCAAAACCGTCTTCTGCAGAGGAGCCTCTTGGAAGGCAGAGCTAGCAGTAGTGCTCAGAGCTTGGGATCTTCTCCCTGGGATCTGAGCCATTGTTCTTCCCTTTAGGCAGCCCATCGGGGAGATCATACAGTTCTTTGCCATGCCTGGTTTGGGGCGAAACGTGGTTTCTTGCGGGATTGAGCTAAAGGGCACATTTATAATACATCTGCCGCATCTCCACAACATTTTTAAGTAATTGACCTTGGGAGACTGAAACCCTCTACGAAAACACTGGTCCCACTCTTTGAACTCTTGTTTCTTTGACTTTGGAGGAGGAAGCCCTGCAGACCTTTCCCTGTCAGGATTCAAGTTGTAAATTATTATCAAAGACTGCCCCACCCCAAGACCTTTTGCTCACACGACTTACAGGAATAGTAACCATGCTGTAAACTACTTTAAAAAGGACTTGCTAACTAACAAACCAGGCATATCCTAATATATATTTAGAGTATATTTTCAAAAGATGTGTGAGCAACAGTAGAGTTACAAAGTTCTTCAATTTCCAGGTTGATAGAGCCTGGATTCGCATCTCTGTTTCTGTATTCCTTCTGTGCTGATGTCACAGGTCACGTGGCTTTTAGAACATTCTATATGTGCTCATGAAAGAATAAGAGTGAAAAAGAGAAAATGTTACTATTGTTGTGGAAGGAGGATTTGCTGTAGATAATATGCCAAGGTCTTGGGAACCCAGAGGGTTTCCATGATCACACCTTGAGAACTGTTGTTCTAATCATTTCAAGGATGCATCAGAGTTTCCCATAGCAGCAAAGTGGGAAAAAAAAAAAAAAATACAGGCTGCTTGCCTCCCAGAGACCCAACCTGAGCCACCTTGTTGGTGGAGTCTGGCCCTCTTTGAGTCCACCCGCAGGACAAGTGGGAATAAGCAGAGGATTTTCTGTGTTACCCTGGGCTCGTCTTTGCCTGAGGCTAGCCTGCCACTTCCCAGAGCCTGAGCAAATGACTATTCCTGGAAAAAGTTGCAGGATGCTTCATCATTTGGCAGCTCTGGGGGTTTAAGGTCAGCTCTGGAATATTCCAATTTCAAAGGATTTGGCTACAATCACATCAGCTCTGAGGCTAAGGTCTCCTGCTGGACGCATTGAAATTTGTCACGATTCCAGGCTTCTTTGGGTGCCCCCAGGCCACTTTAGAGCCAATCTGAAAGTAATACAGCCCCAGGGCAGGGGTCCAAGACCTGTCATCCCTGAAACACATGGAAAGGTCCCCCTCATTTTGCCTTTAAGTAAAAAGTTAATGCACCACTCCACATTTAAGCACTTTTACAAACCTGGGCCTTGGAACTCAACCCAAGGTCTCTTGAGACAGATAGTCCCGAGTCTGTTAATTATTCTGAGACCTTTCCCCTTTTGTCCCCACTGTGTGACTGACAAGATCTTTTCTCTCTGCCTTGTGCTCTCCAACAGGCTTGCAGCCGATGTACTGGAGCAGAGATGACGTAGCCCAGTGGCTCAAGTGGGCGGAAAACGAATTTTCTTTAAGGCCCCTTGAGAGCAACACGTTCGAGATGAACGGCAAGGCGCTCCTGCTGCTGACCAAAGAGGATTTCCGCTACCGATCTCCTCATTCAGGTGAGAGGCTGCTTCTTGCATAGGCTCAGCATGGAAAACGTGGCTGGTCTTTACCATACTCGTTTTAACCCATGAGACCCTCCACAGAATTTCTCGTGGGAACAAACATAATGATGAGGCAAGAAAAGGAAGATCTACTGGCGTTGGCCAGTGTGTGGGGAAAAAGGGGGGGGGGGGGGGGTCAGAGAGACTGTTAGGTTAGAAGCAACTCACCTGTGACCAGACACTGGAACTCTAAGGCATCTAATGTCCCATCATCTAGAGAAGACAACTCCATCCTTCCCCTTTTATCTGCCTTGCCCCTGATCCTAAAGATCTCAGAAGAGATGGCTAAGAGCACATGTTCTATGAACCACTCAGTTAAGAATCATGGTGGTGCACACCTGTAATCCCAGCATCCAGGAGTTTAAGGCAGGAGCTAAAGTCAGCCTGGGCTACATCAAAAAGACCCTCTCTAAAATAACAAATGACAGCACTCAAATAAGAAAGAAAAGAGTTCTTGGCCATTGCTGATACCATGACAGAAATCATTTTATCTAGTCCTCCAGCTGTTAAATCGTTGCCCTGTTAAATGGATCTGGAGTGATTGAAATGCAGACACATGTTTGATTACTGGACTCGGAAGAGCCAATTAATCAAGGAGAACAGACAAGTTTCACTTTGTGTTCACTTTTATTTAGAGTTATTGCACAGGTAGCATTCAGGTGCGATAGATTTATGTGTCCATTATTTTACATGGACAAAATCACTCAAGTCATTATCAACTTAATTCATATTGTGCTGGCTAAACATGCTTAAAAAATAAAAAGAAACTCACTTTCAAAGTTCCTTTAATTCAGTTAAATACAAACCAGGCATCATAGTGTACACTTGTAACCCTAGCACCAGAAGCCTGAGGCAGGGGGATCAAGAGTCTAAGGCCAGCCTACGTCCTGAGACCCTTTCTCCAAGGCAAAGTGTGTATGTCCACATAATTTCCTACTGGAAATTTTGGTCTTTTGATGTGCAATTGTGACTTTTGTAATTCTCCAGTGTCCTTATCTTTAGAAATACACTTTGCTTCTGTTCTTCCAGTATAGAAAAATCTCATTTCAACATGGAACCAAAAACGTTCCTTGGACCAACTGTCTCAGTAGAAGGTGGCTTGCTAGACTGAACGGCTGTGTTTTAGAATTAAGTCAGAGCACCCTAGAGTACAAATCACAGAGGGTAATTGCCGGAAATTACAAGGCAACTGCATGGCCTTGACTGAAGACACACACAGTTGGCTCTTTCTCATCTTACTGGGTCTTTGAGCAAGGAGTCGAATGTGTGTAGCACATGTCAGAGAGATGCGTAGGGAAGTACCTCTTGGGAAAGTTGTTAGCTCCCCAGCCCCCATGAAGGTAGTGGTGGCAGCTGATCCCCTGCCAGGCAGGTGTCTGACAGTGTATGATGTAATTGACGCTTTCTTCGATAAACTACGTGTACACTTAATGGTATTTCCATTTTCTCACAAGTTTATTGCTTGTGTTACTTTATATTCGTCATTCAGCTGAAAGTAATTATCTTTCTCTATGTGTTTTCTGATTTGTTCTTAAATACAGTATTAGCGTATTTCTACAAACTGGCCCCCTTTTCTCAGGATCTCTGTCTTTAAGTAGTAAATAGGAAGCTAAAGTTCGTTTACTTGTTTTTAAGTAAAAGAATATTCTTTTTAAAAATATTGTAAAATTCAGATAGGATGATCTTTTGACTTTCTTTTGCACCTTTCACCATGTGGTGCAGTTATGAGCACTGAATGTGTACGCTGGGGACACTTGAGAAGATGGAGCCCAGCTGGATGAGGTAGATCACTGAAGAGCCCGAAATGGATTACCTTCCCTGCAGTAAATGAAAAGTTTGTAATTCAGTTTAGCCACCAAAATAGATTAAATAGAACTAGAGCCAAGCAAAGTTCAAGACTCACACTGTCCTGTCACAAGAATGGGTGCTTGGGGGCTCCTCTCCACCCCAGGCCTGCGGCAGTGCTGTCTGCACTGCTGAATTCACAGCGGAACTTCGAGGGTGAGCGGTAGGCTCCATTCTTTACCCATCCTCGGGCAGGCAGGACTCAGCAGAGCGAACTCTCTGACAAGCCTATACCGTGCGCCTCCCATACCGGGCATGCTTTTACTTATTTCATTTTCTCTATTTTATAATTGGTCAGAAGGAAACCAAAGTTTCTGAGTCAGAGTGAAATAGAAGAGAGAAGTCTTTGCAAACTGGGGAGTGTGTTACTTGAGATGATAATCTGCTTGTTGAGAGCAGGTTCGTAGCAAATCACCACCTACAAAGTACACACTTCACCGGTGTTAAGGTTCCACTGTGCACCCACCAACCCAGAGAAGTGGCAAGCTGAGGAACCCTGGCGGAGACTCTCATGTAGCAGATAGCATTTTAGCAGCGGCCCTCCGGCCCCAGCCTTTTGAGCACCAGCACTGTATAATGAAAGCCTCAGAACTAATCATAGCCTTTCACTGGTAATTCCATTCCTAAGAAAATATCCCAAAGAAATTATCCGATAGTGGACAAAGAAAATGTCCTTAGCAAGCCTATTTATAACAGTAAACACTGGAACTACCCCAACCGTCCCCAATATGACACTAAATAGACAAACGTGGAAATGATCAGTATAACGGGATACTCCATAGCTCAACAACTAGCTGTTTGTCTTTTTGCTTATTATTTCTCCATCCATCATTAGGGCCTCTCATATCCAATTCAAGATCTGAAGCAGAGGATTGACAAGGAACAGATGTGCAAAATGGATGTCAGGCAGTCTGGCTAGAGTGTTGGAGCAATGGAGATGATTAGAGCAAAGGCAGGGCCAACAGAGAGAAGGAGACAGTCCCAAAAGTTAGGGTTAGTGGACAGAGCCCCCGGCTTGATGACTGATTCGATGTTAGATTAAAGAGGGGAGGGAAGATGGAAGGATTAATCCCAAATTTCTATAACAGCATAAACTAGGGAACCCCTTCTGGTTTCTAAAGACTTCTGTGTTAGACACATTGTAAATCATTAAAGAGGATGTGATCCTCGTCGTCAGAAGGCATCATGACTGGAACAGTTCAGGCTGAAGACAAGCAGAGTGAAGTCGTGGGAACAGATGCAGTTTACCAAGAGGAGCTGGTGAGGGTGCTGGGAAACTCCATATTAAAGGGCCGGAGAGGGAGAACTGGGGGTGGGAAGAAAGCCGGAGGAGCACTCTTGGTGGCCAGGAAGCATCCTAGGAGGGAGGGGGCAGGTTATGATTCCTGGCAGCCAAGGCTGCTAAGGTGGGGTTGTCCCCTAAGTCCCACAGCTGCCCTTTAATTAAACACCAGGGAGGTGACCTCAGCAAAACAGTTTGGGGAAGGCTTTGGAGGGGAAACCAGAAAGCAGAGTGAAGAAGTAAAGATAACAGAATTGACAGTTCCTGGGGATGGTTGAGTCTCGGGTGAGAAAAGAGCTGGACCATGACCTGGAAGGGATGATAAGGACTGAAAGATGAGGGAGGGATACAGGAAACCTTGAAACTGCTTGTGTAGTTAAGAACGGAAACTCAAAGATGTTGAGAGGAGACTGTAGGGAAGGGAGGGTTTTAGAGATACCCGACTATACACTAGAAATTTTTATATGAAATTATGTCAATGGAAGGAAAAAAGAAATTTCCACACACAAAAGTAACATAATGGAATTGTGTGTGTGTGTGTGTGTGTGTGTGTGTGTGTGTGTGCACATGCGCCTTAATGTGGAAGTATTGAAGCTGAGAAAATGTGACTTGTCAGTTAATAAAAGAAATGCCCACCAGAGATGACATCCAGTCAAGTGTATTCTGTGAGACCAGTGTTTAGTACTTGTCTCCTGTAACTTGCCAGGTCTCATTTTGCACAAAAGCAAGCTGAACTAAGCCTTAAACTAAGAATCAAAGAGGGGGATAAAATGATTTGCCTTAGCACAGAAAGCTCACCACATAGGGACCAGGACTCAGACTTGGGCTGGTCTGGCTCTAGAGCCCAAATTCTGTTCTCTAAAAGTAAAATAAGTAATTTTCAGCACCTGTTCCCCTTCTAGTAGCATCCCTGAGTTCTTGATCTTCAAACACGGACAAGACTAACAGGAAACTTGCATGGTATTTTTCACTTTCTCTTCTTCACCCCTCCCCCGTATAGGCTAAGCTCCACCCTTATCTACCTTCAACCCACTCCCACCCCACCCCCCATCCCACCCCAGTTTGCTTCCTTCTCTTGACAGGGTCATGCTGAGTTACCCAGGCAGATCTTGAATTTTCCCCCTCCACCTCAGCCTTCTGAGTAGTGGGTTTCAGCAGCCCAGCTTTTGAAAGAACTTCCAATAAGATAGATAATACAATTTGGAGCTGGAGAGCGCTTTCAGCGGGTGGGGTGTTGTGTGAGCGGCAGGGTCTGAATTCTCAAGTCCTGGGCAAGTTGAACATGGCTGTATATGCCTGTAACCCCAGCACTGAGAGACAGTGACAGGGATGCCGGGATGCCGTAAGAATTCACTGGCCACCTGGTGAGCTTCCAGTTCGCTGAGAGACTCTATCCAAGACAGCAAGGCAAAGATGATGGAGGAAGAAGCCCAAGGCAGTCAGGTGTCCCACCCCCACAACCCTCCCACACACACAGAGTGGGAAAAAGCAGAATTTCAGATTCTGAAAATATGTTGGGTTGCATGACTTTCAAAATATATGTCAAAATACACAGGTTGAAGCTGCTTGTGTTTCGGTGTGTGTATGTGGACCCAGGATAATGTATCAGTATTAGGGCATAAAGCTGGAGGGTACAAGTATTTTCAGTTTCCAGCATTCCTTCCAGGGAAGAGTGTAACTGTAAATCCCCCTCTGTGCAGTATGAGTGTGCCTGGGCCATGTGGATGTGCTCTTGACTCAGAATGTAGAGGCCTGGCTTCCATCGCCTCGTACTGTAGAGCCATTTCTGAGACCACGGAGATTTGCTAGGTGCACATGTTAATGACTCAAGCTTTGGTTTTAGTAGGCAAGTACGCAACTTATTCTAAATAACCCTCTGCAATCCAGAGCTCCCTTTATCAATGTTAACCCTATTTTTATGAAGCAGTGTTGAAGGTTTTTAATACAGGCTTACTAAGCAAGGGTGTGGGCCTCAGAAAGAAGAGTCACAAAACACAAGACGGACCCAAGTGTGTGCAGACTCTTCAAGGAAGAATCACCAGTGTTACTTTTTAAGTATGATACCCTGGGCTGGCATGATGGCTCAGTGGGTAAAGATGCATGCCTCTAAGTCTGGTGATCTGAATTTGATCCCAGACACACGTGGAGGGAGGAGAGAACTGACTTATACAAGTTGTCCTCTGAATAGCACGTATGTGCTTTGGTATGTATGCCTTTGCACATGTGTGCACACATACAATAATAATAATAATAAATGATATCGTTTGCACACTTGAAAATTTGAAGACTACATCCACAGAACAGGTGGAGCCAAAGGGCAGTGTACTTGGAGGGAGGCATAGGGTCATCTTCATTTATTTAGGAAGTTGTAGGCAAAACAACACATTTTTGAACACTCTAGAAGCCAAGACCAGGATATAGGAATTTCAAGAAAGCCAGGTTCCAACTCAACAGAACTTTCTACCAACTAGAGTCATCAAAAAATGGTTTTCTTATATGCCAGGGCTGGCTGCCCATCATAGGGCTTTCTCCCCCAAGGCTGTTTCTTAGCAGGGGAAGGGGAGCAAGGGAACTCCTAGAGAGCAGAAGTTTGAGCCTGTCTAAGCCATTTCTAGAACCCTCTTTAAGACCTGATATTGCAGGTGCGCTGCGTTAGTGACAGCCCTTGCACACAGTGTGTGTGGACAGGGCACTGCCTCCTCCACTGAGCCAGCCACTTGCTCTGTGCAAGCTCCTGGTTGTGGAGGAGCCACGCGTGGTCCGGCTGTGCCCACCCTCAAGGGTTGTGTAGTTTCCCTGACAGAGCTAGGACCCGGGCTCCCTGTCAGCCGTCCCTGTGAAAGGCATTTGCTTGGCCGTCTTACTACTGCGTATGGAGTAGGGTTGAGGTAAGCAGCTGCCAGAGACTGCCTTCTTCTGTAGGAAAGTCTCTGCACAGCCCCTCCCATGGCAGCTGTTGGATGCAAAGCTAACACATCATGAGGGCAGAGCCTACGTCAGCAACGTGTGACCGGAGGAGGTTTAGCTCGGTGTGACAGGATGAAGGCGAAGGACAGAACCTACTCCGCAAGGTTTCTCTCTGACCTGCACTGTGCCAAGCACATGCCCTCACATGCGCACACAGTGGCCATAAATAAATTCTTTTAAAGAAATGAGAACTCCAAAAAGAAAGTGGCTTCTTCCTCTAAGCCCTTGTTTTAGTGCCCCTCGACAGCCCGAGGAGATGTGTTCCAGCTGCTCGTCACCCTTTGCACCTTTATGATGAGCGGGAGAGGTAGGTGGTGCAGCCTGCATTTTGTAGAGAAACCCAGGAACTCGCTCAAGGTGACCTGGTCCCCAGGCTGGCTGTGTCTGCAGTCTGTGCCCCTCGCAGAGGGAAAAGCGCTAAACACCCTTCACAGACACTAAATTTATATTTCCTGGCCTCCCCTTCTAAAATGGATACACTAATTGCAGACTTTTTTTTTTTTTAATAGTGATCATCAGGAACACATTTCTTTAATGTTTGCATTTTCTATTCTGCATAATGCCAAAATAAAACATTGATCAAATCTACAAGCTCAAACCCAGTATGACCATGTAAATTAGGAAGGGTTAGGAAGACATTACACTAAACGGGAAGAAAAAAGTGTTGATTAGGGGCTTATTTTTGTATGAGATTAAAATGTGAATCATTAAAATAGGACTGTATTTTGGGTTCTGCACTCCGTTCTCATCGGAGCCGTAGCGATGGATGGCTCCGGATTTGGAGAACTGAAACCCTGCCCAGCTCTGAAACCTGGCACCCGGTACAAGTTCTACCTTCCTTAGGCATTTCCAAAAGTGTGGTCAGAACTCCTCTGTGTCCACCTGCATATCCAGTCTTAAGGAAACCCCCTAAAGGCTGGTGTCCTAGTCTTCATTCAATCCCGATTGTAAATGGCAGCAGCTAGCTAGGAAGGTTCTTCGGGGGTTGGAGGTAGGAGCTTGGGAGGGTGTAGCCACCGCAGTACTTGATTTGGTGTAGGGCGCTATACCAAAGCAGATAATGCTTGCAGGGAAAAAAATCTCCTGTGGAGTGTTTCTGTTCTTCATGCTCCAGTTTGGAAGAAAAAAAAGAATAGCAATATCCACAGCCCAAAATATGCAGTTAAATTAAGTTGTTAATTAAAGCGGCTTTAAAAATGGCTAAGATCGGAGACAAAGGCCCATTGTTTGGTATAATTGTTGACTGCATGTCTCTGTGTAGGGAAGGGTGTGGGGAGGACAGCGAGAGTGCTATGGTGTTTTTAAAAATTAATCACCCATCCTAACAGATTTCTTTAGCACCCCTGCATTGTGAACTTGTATCAAAGCCAGAGAGGGTGGAACCAGTTCATGACAGGTTGGTGGTGGTAGGTTTTGTTTTGTTCTGTTTTGCTAATGACCTACTTGGGTAGACATTTCACATACCAAGTATACAGCACCCACCATTCTCTCCAACTAACAACATCTCGAGATACTTTTGTGGAGCTTGGAGTGATGCCTAGATGTGTTTTTACAAAAGGGGGGACCCCAGACTGAACCATTTATAGAGAGTGGTCAGGAGTTTACAGCCCTGGCCTACACTAGTGAAGTTTGTTATTTCAAACACCCGCTAGTCCCCAATCCGGGCTTTGAGTGAGTTAGAAAGATGTATTCTCCCTCTAGGAAACTGTGTTGTTATTTGGGATCTTGCTGTGTAGCCCAGGCTAGCTTCAGATTTCTCGTCCTCAGCCTCCTTCCACAACATCCGGCTGATGTAAGGTAAAATTTCTATCAAGAATCTGTGAGTCATTTTGTGCATTCAGAATGTAGATACCGAGGATGTAATTTTTTAAAAAGAAAATAATTCTGAAGTACAAACAGAGAGAGATTTTTAAAAGGTTATTTTTGAAAAAATAGGTAGCTCTTGAGACAGTTTAAAATTTCCCTGGCTCTGGGATCACCCTGTCGCGGGCTCTCTATCATTACAGCAGCTTAAAATGTCAGTAACATGGGGGCAGCTTCAAAACCGACTGTAGTCATGAACCCTTTGCTTGTAGCTAACTGATCCACAAATCCCCTCTCTGGAGGATCTATAGTGTTTTCCCATCTGTTATTTAGATGTTTTTATTTAGACTTGCTATGTTTATTAACAATATAAAACAGTTTATATTGTTTAGTGGGGAGGGGACAAGGGAGATGACTCATTGGGTAGAAGGGTCATGAATTTGATTACAGGGACCAGTATAAAATGTAAGGAAAGAACTAGCTTCACAAAGTTGTCCTCTGACCCACGTGAGCATACACATAAGTTTTATTTTAGGTATAATAAATGTTTTGCCTGAGTGTATGTGTGTGTGCCACGTGTGTGCCCAGTACCCACAGAGGTCAGAAGAGGGTACCAAATCCATTGGAACTGGAGTTACAGGTGGTTGTGAGCCACCATGTGGGTGCTGGGAACTGAACCCAGGACCTCTGCAAGAGCGACAATTGCCCTTAACCACTGAGCTCTCTCTCCAGTTGCAAAACTTCTTTAATATTACTCATTTTCACTTTTACTCTTTGTTGTTGTTGTTGTTGTTTTATTGTTGTTTAGGCAGGGTCTCAGGTAGCCCAGAGTGTCCTCAGGATGCTGTCGGACTCTGCGTCTACCTCCTTAGAGCTAAGATCACAGGTATGCACCACAGGGGGCTGCTCTTATTTTTAGCATTTAGAAACAACTTTGTTGAGATCCTATGAATCGACAGCTATATAAAGTATATGATTTGATCAGTTTGGAGATCACTGTCCATGAGATCATCATTAAAATTAATGTCATATCTAATCTACCATCTCAAATCTTTCTTGTCCTCTTTATTATCGTAATTATTATTAGTTTAGTGATGAGAACATTTGTCCCAACATCCACCCACTTGGCAAACTCTAAGTGTAGTGTGCTTGACAGCACACTCTTCTGGCCTCTGGAAATACCCCCATGCACATGGCGCACACACGTAAGTAAAGCTTGAAACAATAGCTTCTAAAAGCCACACAGCCCTGACATGGAGAGTCATGTGCATAGGTGCTGAGTCCTATCCCTGTCAAGGGTCTACAATCTGTTCTGTTAATTAACATTGTTTCCTTACGTCTGTGGCTGTCATGGCTCTGCGGCTCATTCTGTAGCTGTTAACTAAGCATCTATCCCATCTCTTTGCTCCGTTTTCTCTCCAGGCGATGTGCTCTACGAACTCCTTCAGCATATTCTGAAGCAGAGGAAACCTCGCATTCTCTTCTCACCATTCTTCCACCCTGGGAACTCTATCCACACGAAGCCAGAGGTCCTGCTGCATCAGAACCATGAAGAAGGTACTGGAAGAGGCTTCTCTTGGCTTGCCTGGGGTTTAGACAAACTAAGGGGCTGAATGGTTAACCGGCCAAGGGGTTCTTATTGCTGTAAACTCGTTCTTCATTCGGGAAGCTTGGATTGAGTGCCTGCAGTGTGTCTACATTTGGGGGAGTTCCCTGGATGAGGGAGGCATAACACTCTCTGAAGTTCACGATCAGCAGTGTAAGCATTGATTACTGTAATACACACTCGGGGATGTAGTAAGAGGGGAGATGATACCCAGGTAAAGGAAGCCAGCTCAACTTTATAAAAGGAGGAGTCTCTGATAAACAGTAAGAACATTCCAGTTAGGTAGGGTAATGCCTTAGAAAAGGGTAAAAGGCTTGATCGGGGAGCCCATTCATCATAAAAATTTTCAAATATATATAATCTATATAAAATAAAATAAATACAGCTGTGTCAGCCATCTGTCTCCCTGTTTCAGCAATGATGAACGTTTTCCACTGTAGAACTAATCCAGGGAGCTTAGCCTGGCAAGTCAGTCATTGAAGATATTTGAGCAAGGTATTCATGAAAGCTGGTGGAAGGAGAAAACTCAATCTGGGGGAGGTTGGTGTTGGGCAGGGGCTTTCTCCATCATTCACCAAAGATCGTTTGTTGGTGTGAGCTCCATTTCAAGCCTCCAGTCGTAAGTGCTATTTCTGTTGGGACTCACGGGAACCAGAGAAACATCAGTAGCTAGCTCAAGGCCGCGACATCCCGGTCAAGTACAGCAGCAGGTGTTGGGTGCAGGGATGGAAAATGTCCCTTTGTGCACAGTGACACATCTCCCAGGGCCGTCAAGTCCTCACCCTCCCAGCTGATCGGCCAGCATGCAGTTATCAGTGTGGGACTTTTCCATACATATTTTCTTGAAAGCCAATTTCGAGACCCCACTCCTTGGGAAGTGTTGTTGACCAGTGAATCATTTCCAAACACAGGACTGCTACTTTTCTTTTGTGGTCAGACAATGTAGAAGGTTGAGTTTGATGCTCTCTTAATTAGCACTTTACGAAAAGAAAGAGCCTGACACCAGGTGACCCTGGGGCCTTCTTGTCTCCCAGCCAATCCTCTCCCGAATCTGAGATAGAGAATGATGCCAGTATTTTTGGCATGCTCCTTGACTCTCATCCTCTCCTCTCCTCCAGTACCTCTTACTAAATTTAGCATCTGCCCCCTCGCATCAATTCGGGTTTGTTCCTCTGTCCTTGCTTATTTCCGGCTTGCATTATAGCCAGGAGCCACTCCAGAGAAGAGGAGGTGAGCTCACTGAAGCTTGACAGGCATTGTGTGTTATTGGCCTGGCTCTTCAGACACACAGGCTATGGGATGGGTTCCTGATCCTTCTTTCTCTAACTATTAAAAAAAAAAAAAAAAAAAAAGAGTTTTTTGTTTGGAATTTGGCCCCATTTTCTTTCCAAATGTGGTTTTAGGCATGTGGTTCCTTCCTACTTGGTCTGACTTGACTTGGAAGTAGTTGGTCTGTAGGTAGATCTGTGTGTGTGTGTGTGTGTGTGTGTGTGTGTGTGTGTGTGTGTGTGTGTGTGT